CAGCAATAACTAGTTATACCTTAAAATGAAGTGTGTGCATCACTTTTTCGTATCGATTGTTTGTGTGCGTCAATTGAATATAAGCACTTTCATTGGCTTGCGCATTAAGTTGTGCGAAAGAAATTAATGGATTGCACGATTAGCTGTTATAAAACGAATTGCGTCAATGCTTATTGCGCTGATTAGTAGTTTTTGTAGATTTACAACGATTCATTCCATCGTTTGATTGCTCAGTTTTATTGTTCCTTTCAACGTTGAGCATAATCGTCGCCCCTTATCAATCCTTCCGGTAGTGACCTATCATGAGATTTGCATGCGTTCTGAGTAGGAGAAGCCGTAGACTTAGTGCGCTTATTTATTGGAATTGGAAGCAAACGCGATAAATACTATGGTGTCATATTGCCGATTCGATGAGATCAGCTGTCAGTAAGATATAATTCGTGTGATTGCTGCAAGTTTGATCTGAGTCTTATTGATTATTGATCTGGAAAGGTTTCAGTTTGATTCCGTCAATATTCTATAATTTATATCGTAGACTCATAAACGAGTCGGATTCTCTGCCGAAAGCAGTCATGAGCGATACGACTAAAAACACGAATGTTTGGTTGTTCTACCCGAATCTGATCGGGTATGGTCGTATTATAACGGCATTCCTATCGTTCGAGGCAATGCCGTATGCACCGTTGCGATCAGCACTTTGGTATGCGCTAAGTGCTCTGCTAGACGCAGTTGATGGACATATCGCGAGAATGTTCAATCAGAGTTCGTTGCTTTGTTGTTGATCTGCTTTTTTGAGTTGATGTCTTAAGGCGATCACTTAATACGGGTATTTGTTGTTTTATGTACACGTTTCGGTGCAATGCTTGATCAGCTGGTGGATCGTTGTACGACACTGGCGATGGTGATGTGTCTGTGCGCATTCTACCCAAAATATCTGTTCCTCTTTCAATTATCCGCCATTATCGACATTGCTTCACACTGGTTGCACTTACATGCCACTGATCTTACCCAACAAACCACACACAAGGTGATGGTGATTGGCTTTCTTTCATATCTTGTTCTAGAATCGCTTAGTTATGACACGATAGAATTATTTGATGACACGAGCGATTTCATTGAGTTTTCACTTTAATTGAGATTGAGTGTTTTATTGAATTCAATTTCATAGTAACATTCGATTCTGAATTTCGAAAACAATTTCACTGAATTTTAAAACATACAATTGCGCATCTGAAAATTGACGAAGGAATAGAATAGTTACGTTTGAGGTTAATAAAAGATGATCATATTGAAGGCGTCAAGCAATCCCATTCTGCATCTCTACTATAC